GAAACTCAAGACACACCCGGCAGAACATTATGTTATTAGCTCGTCATATTCAGCCACAGAAATTCTTTTGTCCATGCGCTTTTGTTTTTGTCTCATAGCCTGATTTGTCATATCTTTTCCGTTTTGTGATCGGCTTTTCTTTGGCTGTCCCTTCTTCACCCCGACCCGTCTTATTTGGCTCTGCAGAACTAAAATACCTGCGTAAATCCATCTGCTTTCACACAGGCACTTGCATAATGATCAGCGATTCTCTGCGCAATCAACCTGTATCACATGTTTAAGCTTGCTGCGGGAGATTTCACTTGTCACGTTTGAACAGTAAGCTAATGAGTGATAAGACGATGTCAGAAGAATTGGTGCGCAATCAATCTGTCACTCACCAGTCAGTAGCTGCCGCTCTCTATTCACAGTTTGCGCCATCGCAAAGTGAAAGTGAAGCAAAAAACAAGCAGAAACTCAAGCGTGATTTCAATATGTCACATACTGACAGCTACGTTTGCCAAAGAATGCAAAAGCATCGACATATTTTTTCTTCCTAAGACAGCCTGACGGACAGGGCTGACATGGATTTTGGTAGCCCGACCAGAAAAATCGCTAGCCCCGGGACGTCGGGCTAGTGATTTTGCGAGCCCTGACTGTATTAAAAGACAAATGAATCCCCTCATTGCAGAAATATGAATAAAAGAATTCAAAACTGCAAAAGGTTTCTTTAAGGTTTTCTCCTCCCATTCAAATACCTGCAGATCAACCATTTGTCTTGGAAAGGTTACAAAAATCAGGAGGTGCACAGCAAACCGAAACAACATCAAAGGGAACCACACGGTGGGAGTCCTGTGCCACTGTTCGCAAGGATGACAACAGTAAACACTGTCACTGAAGTTTTGCCCCTGCTGTCCAACTCTTATCTTACCAAGAGCCTGTTTTATCAAAATAAACAAACTATTACTAGAGAGTTTCAGCATCAAACGGGCCTCTGGGCAAATAGATCAGGCTTTTTCTGGCCCACAGAAATGGACATTTTAATAAATTTGTACGCAATTTGTACACTTCAAGGAAAAAAAAGGAACTAAAGCCTTGAAATAAGCACAGTGGAGTAAACACTGCCTCCTGTATGCTGCAGCTGGATACTGCAAAGTTTCTAAGAAATTTGAAGCAGTTCATCTGCCTTCAAACAGCTTTTATGGTGGGTGAAAACTGAAAACATCAACAGTGGATGGGAGCAAAAATACAACAAACAATACTTTTCAGATTTAAACTATCCGCACAGGTGGTTTAATGAAAGACGTTCAGTGGTATTTTAATGTGAGAACACCAGGTGGGAGAAGAAGCTACTTGGAGAGGCTTCATTTCAGTGAGTTTGCTGAGGATCACTGTACTTCTTTACTGGCCCAGAGCAATGAGGCCATTCATGACGTGACGTTGATCCCTTTGATTGCTTAAAATACAAACTGTTTAATGGTGCAAACCTCCTAAGAGTTCAGGTGTCTGTCACATAAGACGATGAAAAGCAGAATTTTTCACAATGTAGAAGCTGGAATCACAAAATGTTTGGCTCGTTTTGTCCAGAAAAGGGACTGGACATCACTCATCACAGTAGGTAAACCATTTCATCTCTACAGCA